CGTCTGATGGATATGTCATTCTGTGTGGTCATCCCGGTGATTGCAATGATTACACATATTGTCTACCAAAGGAGCCGATACTTGATCTTCGGTATTTCAGGGTGCGTCAACAACTTTGATCAAAGCTGGGCGAGCCTTGTGCTAGCGTTCATCTGGCCTCCTATAATCTGCCTTCTGGCTGCTTCCTATTGCGGTATGAATAAGGCACCGCCATGCTTCTCTGCTCATGACTGACGACCACACAGGGATAACCCTTTATCGCCTTCACAAATATCGAAGCCAGTTTGGGGACATACTCAACTCTGCCAACAGCCATCTGAACAAGTCCAAATTCCTGCGTCTATTTTTCCTTGCGTGCATCATGCTTTGCACTATTCTGCCAATTCAGGCTTACGTTGTCTATCGCAATCTTATGTACAATTTGCCCTGGCATCCATACTCGTGGAGCCGCCTCCATGGGCCACACTCACCATGGAGCATCATTCTCAAGATTCCAACGCAAGGTCAAGTCTTCTTTGACCGCTGGATTCCTATCGCTGCGGCATACGTGCTTTTCATATTTTTCGGATGCTGCAAAGATGCTTTGAGATTGTACCAATCCGCTCTATGTCTCCCGGGCCTGGGGAGATGCCTTTCTGGTTTGCGTACTTTGTCGCAAGACACCTCGGCATCCATTACTGAAGGGTTTACAGCGAGCCGTGCGAAATTGCTGTCTTCTAGGAAGCAGTCCTCTGGAACGGGGTAAGGGCTATCTTCTGTCATCACCGACACCTGATTTATCTTCATGCTAATACAGTCCCAGAACAACGACCGACTCTACCACGAGCGGGAAGATCACCTCCAGCCACGAGGATATCGAAAAGGGTGCCGCGCCCCGACAAGAGAGTTCCTATACAACAAGGTCGCGCTGGGTCTCGCTTCCGGGGTGTCTCTTGAGGCGCACATTCCTTTCAGTCCGGGAAACAGCGACCTCTGACCCAACATTTTCCGTTCCAGCCACCACAGTTTCCACTAACGCCTGGGCCGGTACGAGCCAGAGCCGTGGTAGTAGTGACTTCATACATGCCCCAGTCGGACCGGATTCTATTCGCGTTAAGCAAGTGATTAGTCAAGAGAGTGAGCTGCAGGTGTGAGCTTCACCCGCTAAGAGCACAAGTCCTCCGATCCACAGTCTCACAAGAAACATAGCATGTGCGGCATGTGTGGGGTTCACCAATGGGTCCTTCATGTGGACACCTTGGATATGCGATAGGAAAGTCATCTTCTTCTGACTGACAACTCGTTCCATTCCTTTTGTCATATTAACTAGAGCAGATACGCAGTAATATATTTCCTTTCTGAGATTCTTTAATCCTCCAAATTAGAACCATACATCAACATACAGGGTAATTCTTTCCTTCCAGTCTCCGTAAATTGCAGTCAACACTAGCAGAATCAGGCAATAACAGACGATGGGGACTCGAAATGACTGTGTCTCTTGCCACCGCAATGGAAGAACACTCAATAGATTAAGAAAAAAAGAAGCCAACTTAAGAGCGGACGGTCAAAGTAGTGTCATTCAAGGGTATATTGGTACAGCACGGCAACTACAATACATGCAAGTCAAAGGGAGCGGCAGCCAACTGTCGGCTTCACCGACAAAGCGGAGATGTCAGACAAGATTCTTAACGAAGAGCGATCTACCCCCAACAGGAAACAGGAACCAAAAACCCTACCCCACCGATCATTTCTCTTCTGTCCCCAATTGTCCTCTAAGCCGATTATTGGGAAGAAGTTTCAGAATCAGCAGCGTCGGGGTTGTACGGGCGTTTGAGGACCTCCAGCGTCCCTATACCGGCATGCATCAGTATGGATTCTTCTCACATGGAGGTGCATGAATAGATAGCTGGCTTACGTTGCACAATGCTCAGGGCGGGCTGTCTCTTGCCATCTGCGTCTTCGTACGAACGCATGGTGGCATCGCCTTCAACGTACACAAGGGTTCTGGTAGAACAAGAAACGATCAACATCAGACGCAAAGTGCTCTCAGTCTGCAACTATAACCCAAAATGCGCTGGGTACACAGGTAACACAGATAGAGCTGCAAGTATGATAAGCGGAAATACTCACCCCTTCGGCAGGCTGAGAATGAAATCTCGCTGCGAACCCTCTGGCTGGAAGCTCGAGACGCGGAACCAGCTGGTCTGCCGATTATCCCCTTTGCCATAGGAAGTGCCCACCGCATATTTGATGACGTCTTGACCGGTTGAGGTGGCGTGCAGCTCGGGCTCGGCAGCGAGACGGCCAGTGATGATCATGCGTGCAATTGAGCGCGGCGAGGAGGTGCTGAAAGAGCGTGCGGAGAGAGCTGCACCGGAAGAGGCGCGCAGGAAGGGGCGAAGAGACGAGTTGAAGGCAGACATGTCGCTCTGAATGGATGGAAAATATGTTAATTTGAGCTTGAGATAGTAATGAATAGGTAGGGAACGTTGAGGAAGAATGATACCTTGTAGGTGCTAATGATGGTCGATAGTGGTCCTCTCCCGACTCCGCGATGATGCGCGCGGTGAAAGTCACGTGAAGACGGATATACTAAGGAGTGTTTATCCTATGTCTATTCCTACGAAGTACCTCTGATAATCGTTGCACAATATTTACTAAGCGAGAACTTGCTTCTTTTACGCTAATTTATTGGATGTTAATTCATCTCTGGGGTCTATTCGGAGCAGCAATTTTTCAGAATCCGAATTTGTCCATTTAATCTTCTTCTGGCATGGAGCTACCTATGCATGCCTTCATAGGTGTCCACCAGATTACCCAGACCTCGGACAAGCCAAAAGGATATCTAACGCGGAAGTAGTTCAATGAGCCCAAACATAGTGGTTGTTTCTCGCGCGACTCCACTGTGAGATGTCAAATGCAGGACACTGCCAGCGCCTTTGTTCACGAAGGGAACTGCGAACGAGTACGTGCAACTACGATTGTTCAAGTACAAGCTATTCAAGTAGTAGACCTTCAGCTTCCGCCTTTTCGGACTCATTGCTGCATCGGTCGTGCGTCCCGCTATTGTTATCCTGCTGCCAACCTTGGAAATCTTAATACATACCGATTTCTCGGCATTTCCCTGGCATTATTTTCAACCTCAGAGAACCAATTGTCGCAATCCCGCTGCTGTGGAAACAATGGATAACTCGGCTAAGCATATTCAATAAATAACTAAGTCGGAAATTAAAGACGATTCCAACGAACAATCAGAAGATAAAAGCGGCGGAATGCCCACTTCTCAAAAGACAGTCCCGGCGCCTAGGAAAGCCGAGAGATCAGACCTGTCATTCCATGCAGCAGATCATCCTACTGTCCTAACTAATGAAGGCTAACGATACTAGCCTGATCAACAGAGATGACGACCATAGCAAGGCCCACTCTAGACGCGAAGGTTATCTAATCGGTTTGGGTCCTCGCTAAAGATGAACTGGCCAGTGTGAAACACTTGAGCTGGACTTGCTACTGGCTCCATGCGTACTGCATCCATCCTCAAATCCGATATGACTCCTCATCATGTCATTTGCTGCGCGAGTCATATTCGCACTGTTGTTGTGAATCAGATTCTGAATACTTACGCTACTCTTGACTGTCCAAATCAACCTGTCATACCGCCTGGAATGTGAAATTAACGCCACAGGTATTCACTTGTAGTGATAGCAGGCCATGTTGATATTGAATCCCTTGAACAATTATCCAATGATTGTCGTCATAAAAACACCGATAGCCGACCCCTCGATTGCCCAAGGGACAGGGTCAGGGAATTCGAGACTCCTTCCTTGCAGATTACATTAACCTTCTTTCACAAGCTCAGATCATGCACAGAACCCTGGAATGATTGTCTGCAAGAAGCCCATTACCTGACCGCTGGTAAGGACATGCCTCATAGGGGGTTACGTGGCTCACTGTGGCTCTCTGATCGTTAGTTTTATCGCTTTTGCGAGATACTGATCGTAGATCCCTGCCTAGAAAAAACAATTATCACGCATGGCCCCCGACGATGCAATTATTCGCTTTTTTTTTTTAAATCCCCATTCAGTGGAACAGCTCGCTTTTCGATGCGCCCAGTCTGCCGTGCGTCTCTCATTTGCATGATTCGGTGTACCGACTAGGGAGTTTATCCCTACAAAATATTATTGCCAGCTCTCTGAGCACCTAGGCCATAAGGACGCTGCTTTTCACTTTCGGGGCGGTCACGCCGAGAAGGGCGATATGATGTATATCAGTACATATATGTCTGGAAAGACTTAGATCTCTTTTTCGTCTCCCAGCTTGTTCGAAAATTGACCGTCACGTTTACTCCAAAGTAAAAGCGCAGCTTTGGCACCGGTTAATGTTGTTCTTGATGGCCATTGCTCACGGTGAACTTAGGGGCCAAAGTATGTGAAGAACAATAGGAAAGATCTGTCGACACTATCTCAGAAGTACTCGTCAGCGTCACCAGCCTGCTAACTTCGGCAATTGTCTCTATCGATCGCGTTTGAGATCATTACAAACTCACCCTCGCTGTCAAAATGAGATTGCTGCCTCTCCTTGCTTTGGTTGTCTGCATTATATCTCGGTCATCTGTTTTTGCAGCATCAATACCGCATGTTGGGCGCGATAAAATCCTGCCAGTTCGTGCTCTAGAAGTCCGAGACGAATCGCCTACTACGACAATATCAGGGAACCAAGCTCCAAGCGGTTCAGCAACGAGCGCAGTAAACCATACGACAGTCAGAGTGAACTCCACAACCACTTCAAATACTACCGCGCCGGCATCAACGACTATCGTGTCGCTCAACACATCAACTGTTTCTGAGAGTGGGTGCATCCTTCCTTACTGGGACCTCTAAAAGCTAATCTTGAGAAGATGGAACAGTTACGCCCGCGCCTGGCGCCCTTCCGCTTGAGCCCCAGGTCACTCCAGCGTTTGGGGTTGGCGGCTTTATCCTTATTGCTACGGGAGCCATTCTTGCATTGATAGGAATACGTAATTCATGGTAGTACCGTCGGAATCCCGCCTGTAAAGAGTCCTCTGAGCTAACATATCTGACCCAGGGTTCAAGTTTTCTTATCTGCCGCCTTTCTTACAAGCTTAGGAGTGACGGTAAGCCTATCGCTTGACAAGCCTAGTCGCACTGTTCACTGACGAATCAGGTCTTGATTGTATATGTGATGAACTCTCCTGTGCGTGTGGCGGTACAAGGAGCGTATCTCGTGGCAATTTTCTTCACGGGAGTGACATTTGGAGCGCTTTCCATTGTGTTCAAGGAATTGACAGAAGGGCTTGGATGCCTTCTGGGAGGGTTCTGTGTCAGCATGTGGCTTCTTTGCCTAAGGCCGGGAGGACTTCTCACGGACACAAATGCCAAAGCCGGGTTCATCGGCGCAATCTCTGTCGCATTCTACGCCTTGTCCTTTAGTCATCACACGCGTCCTTATGGGTTGATAGTGTCAGCTGGCGTTTCGGGAGGTACGGCTGTTGCCTTGGGAATTGACTGCTACAGCCGGGCTGGATTGAAAGAGTTCTGGCTCTATATATGGGGTAAGTGCGGCGTGTGTTGTTGTCACCCACAATCCTACTCACTTTTCATAAGGACTCAACGAAGATGTATTCCCTCTGGGGACTGAAACCTACCCAATCACTCGCAATATCCGGGTAGAGCTTGCGGTCACAGTGATTGTTGCTATCTTAGGTGTTGTGTCGCAGCTCAGACTGTGGAAAGTGATCAGAGAGAAGCGAAGCAAGGAGGAAGCTGTCAAGAATGAGGAAGAGAAGAGGAAAGAAGAGGCCGAAGATGAAGTGGCCCGCAGGCTCGAGGAGAATAACATGCGGGAAAGACAAGCATGGGAAGCTCAATACGCGAATGTGGAAGCAAAGCTCATGCCGGAGCTTGGAGACGGCACTCAATGTGCTGCAGATAAGGAGGATCTTGAGAAGGGGGACGTGGCCGACGTCAACAGCGTTTCCGGTTCATCCCAGGTCTCCTATCGCTGCTCTGACTGTAGAAAACAGGAGGGAAGTGAGGATTCATTCTCAGATGCGACTCGGGCTACAGGAAATACTGAAGTCGAGAGAGATGGAGACACGACTGAGAAGACAACTGATGGCGCATATCCAATGCCGTTCAAGGTCTTTGACGGGGCCGCCGCGGCGAGAATGATAGATGACAAGGAATCTGATGTGACTGCCATGGCTGGCTCAGACACCGCGACGGTACGCTCGAAGCGCTTCTCCGGAATGACACTCTGGAAGAGGATGTCTATACAGAGCAGCCTGAGACCTGCACCATCACAAGAAGCCCTCGCGCATATTGATGACAAGTCGTTGGTATCTGCACAAAGCGCTATGGATGACCGCAGTGACAGAAGCTCGGATTGTCATAGCGTTGAAATTGAATCGCACGAGGATGCGGTCAAGACTCACTCGGAGCCTGAAATAGCGGTGCAAGGAACTGCCATTCCCTCTGATAGACGCAACAGCAACGTGGAAGTCGATAAAGGTGAAGGAATCGAAGGTGAAGAAGAATGCCTCGCCAAACAGGAATTAGTCCTTGTGCAAGAAACGGACGCTCATGGAGAGGAGGAAGGCTTGCTCAATGTGGAAGGAAGAGACACTTCTACAGATAGCATGATACAGAAGCAATTGAAAACAGAGGCTCAAGACGTTGGCCAGAACGAAAGTCATCCATCTGATGACAATGGGGGAAGTCTGCAAGGACTTGAGTCTCGGCCGGATAGCAAGAAGACAGAGGACGAAGAGTCAACGACGCAAGCTGATGGAGTTTGTCCACCATTGCCTTCTCGAGCCGATGCGAAGGCAGAAGAGGCCTCTGGGAGAACACAACGACAGTCTTTAGAGACCCCCAAAGTTTTACAGACAAACGCCATAGCCGAGACTGCAGACTGCAATGACACAAATTCGATCGAAGAAAATACGAAAACTGGCCGCCCGGAGGAGCAGAATCTTCAAGTTCCAGGAGAACATACCTCATTGAAGACCCCACCAGGCACAGAGAACCGTCAAAGCCAAGTTAGTGCTGAATTCGAGAGCCAGCGACCCTCGCCGTCGCATTCCAAACCAAAGAATAAACGGAAACCGGAAAAGCCCAAACTGGACGCCAAAACAGTGAGACATCTTCCGGAGCGGACATCGAGGGTAGTCCAGACCTATCGCACGAATGAATGGGCCAAGCATCTTTGTGATGCAGAAATTCCCGAGCCAGAACCTATCGAGCCTATCACAAAGGATGCAGCAGAAAGCCCTATAGAGGCTGAAGAGGCTCCTGCTCCTGTCAATGTCGAGGCGCTGTTGCAAACACCTCTCACTGCGCAACCACAACCTGCTGCCAATTCGCGTGCCAGCACCGGAAAAGAGCAGCAGAGCGCAAATGAGAGTCAGCAAATATATAACGACTACAGGCTGCGCACAATTTCGGCTATCAGTCCACAAAGAGTTGGAGAAGCTCAACCAGTGGACAGGACGTCAGGAGTACCTTCCACAATCATCTTATCGTCCACCACCCCTCTCCCAAGCCCGGTGTCCTACGGCGCCGGGCATAATGCTCTCCCAGTCGCATCCAGCCCACCTATCCCGGCTGAACAACCTCAAGGGGACCCTGGGCTCACCAAACCGAGATGGAAAGGGCCGCCACCCCTCCTTGCAGTACGAGAGGATATGATGCGGAGTCGGGTTTCGTCTACTTGTCTCAGCCTTGATCCATGGGCGTCGCGGAACAGCCCTAGGAAGTCTGTTTCAATGGATTCTTCGGCCCAGAGTTCCCCGACGACTTCATTTCCCGAATCAGGGGATGACATCCCCCTCTCTCGTCGCCGTGCAATGCTGCATCAACAAAAAGTCCAGAGCCCGCACATAAGCATGCCAGTGTCAGCCCCGAAATGGAGTCAATCAAGCGTATCTCGGCCTGGAAATGCTCAAGCGGTCATGGCCGCGTGGAGAGAATCCATTCGGGAAAACTTGAAGGGTAAACGCAATCCTTTGGCGAAAGAGGATCTACCAATGGGCGGGGCAGGCTTTGGCCCTCACGCTACGTTTCCTTTTGTAGCACCGGGGCGGAGTGCCTCCTCCCTGCAAGTGAATCTCGACAGGGCGATAGCCGACGGGATGCAGCGTGGGAATATGAGCGACTTGCATCGGGAAGCCATGCGACGCATGCAAGCCAGGGCGAATCAGAGCATGAATGGGCGGTAACACTGCACTTTTACACAGATAGACCGATAGAGATGATCCCGGATACTCCGGGGTAAAGTTACGCCCTAGGGTACTCCGTACAGACGCGCAGTCCAGACCTGATGTTTCAGCTTTACACATGTTTCACGGGAACAAGCTTGATGTCTGTGATAAATAAATAATGTTTAGTTTCAAGACAGTGATCCTGACTACCTATGTTCCTTGGAAAGCGTCTGGTTAGATCAGTTCCATGAATCAAACAGGGAGATAGTTACGCAAGAAAGACCCATTCTTCGGATGACCTAGTGCATCCTGGACGATCCGGACGCCTCACTATCAAAAACTTCGATACACTGGGCCCCGTTTTTCCATTCGACTTGTACTAGTCCTTAGGCACCTATTAGATAGTTTGGCAAGGAATAGTCGATCTGTCCGAGCGATCCGGCAGACAAATATAGGAGCAAATCCAGGGGCTTAGGGCAGGGGACAGTCCGTGATGGTGATAAATAAATAGTTAAATCAATCTAATCTGCACTGTAGCAGTGTTTTCCCTTCTCAGTTTCTACCCGTGGGGTAGACTAGATAGAGACAAACATGCCTGCTGTATGAAAAACTGCAGGACTGTGACAAGTGGCTCCTATTCCAATCTGAGACGTTCGACAGGTGAGAACTGCATGGCAGAATGCAGGTAATGAAACAGCCATCCACGTCCCTATATTCAACTAAAGAACTCATAACCAATAATAGGAGGTCGTAAGCGTGGATTTCCTGAAGTACAAAGTACATACATAGCGTCATACCCTTGAAGCTTTCTTTATACAGGAGAGACTAAGGTTCCTTGGAGATGGGGGAAAGAAAATTGAGGCGTCTCTCGGGCCTTACTTGGGCTATTGGATCGTCTTGGTCATTATTAACTATCCACCTCTGCTCTTAAATTTTCGACCTATATCAGTTGTCGCGTCTTTGCTTGTTCTCTTCTTTGAATTTCTTTTCTCTTCCCTTTTTCCCCTCTAACTGTACAGTCTTGTTGGGAGAACCACTTCTATTGAGACACAGACCTGGTTGGCTCACAAACCATTGAGAATTACGGATATATAGAGCAATTCGAATCAAATCGAATCGGATTAGATCATTCCATCTCTTTTCTCTGACTATCGCACTTGACCACCATCATCCTGAGCATCAATTCAAACACCATCAGGCATCAACATCGAGGGACTACCGCGTCGATGTCATTGTGCACTGCTCGGGCCTTCCATGTCCCCTGCCTCGCCCCTTTCTGAGTCTTGTCCGCCAATCACAGCCTCCCCAGCTGCACACCACCGCCTGCCCTTTTTCTCCTCTCCTCCGCCGTCATCATCCCTATTATTACTATTATTATTGCTCCTACTAGCGATAGTAGTGGTAATATCCAGGCCTCCCCCTAAGCCATTGCGACGACCATTTCGTCCGCTCCTCTACCCCTGTCGTCCGGTGGCTCAGTCCTTGTTCCCAAAACGGCGTCTTCAACGGCCTGGGAACACTCGCACATACTATCATCGCCCGAGGCTGAAGAGAATTCCACTACTTGCCTCCACCGCCATCACACGCACCATTCTCTCGAGCCCGACCGTCGTGCCTCATCATACTCATCGCAGTCTACCGAATATCCCACTCGAAACAGCCTGAAAAAACCCACACTCCGGCAACAACAACTCCAAAAACGGACGCGTTCATTGCTGACCACTACCATACTCCGACCCCCCGCAGTCCGACTCGCTAACCCAGTCAATTACGTACCCCGAATTACTCCAGTCACCGTCCCGCATCCGCTGCAGATCTCGGACGAGCACCTGCCTCTGGAAGCGCACAGAGACGCGTATCCGCTTCTGACCATCCCTGAACGACGCCGCAGTCGGTTGTCACAATCTCCAACTAGCTTGGTAGTAGAGCGCAGTCAGGGCGAGGCCGAGAGTGGACGCTCCAGCATCGCAGTGCCTCGAGGGCAGAGGCGCAGTGGCACATTCGATCGCCATTCCGCTCTGCAGGAGATGTCCGAACAGGCGGAACACAGCAACAATGGTACTCAAGAAGAAAAAGACCTGAGGTCTCCCGAACGGGCCCATCTAGCCCAGGATACACTCGCTGATCGACAGGGATCGTTGGGACCGTTGCATGGGGATCGTCCGCGCCATATACCGTCACAGATTTCCCTTCGTTCACAATCGCAAATCGCCTCCATTCCCTCAAATACTGGTGCACCACCGACCGGCGGAGAGGCTGAGGTCGCGGAGGAGTTGGCATGGGGCCCCGCGCATCCTTGCTACCCTCATGTCAATCCACATGTTCCCATCGGGTCGCACGAATACCTCACGACTCGAATTATTCGAATACGACGCGATTGGATGGTGAAGGGGGATCTGGCGCCGACATTCTCGAACCTCTATCCTGAGATTCTGGACCCGTTACTACCGGAACAGGAGTTTCGGCGGGTGATTGCGACGGTGAACGACGAACTCATTAAGGCCTTTGATCCGTTCAGTTTCCGCAATCTGGTTGATGGCGCGCTGGGTCTGGTCACAGGTTGGTTGTGGGAAGATATCGGTGCCTCTGGTATCAAGAGCCATCTGCGACGGGTGGAGGATTGGCTTGACAAGTGGAATCGCGAGGTCGGCGCGAAGGATGGGGTACATATATGGAGCCTGCGCCGGACGGCATACATGTCTTTGGACATCCAAATTCCGGATCCCAAGGTTGGCATCATCCACAGCGAGGGTGTGTCACTGCCGGGGACGAGACCAAGCAGTGGCGTTGGGCTTGGATTCTAAGTTGCAACAAGTCAGGTGTACTGTCATCTGGGACCTTGTCTTCTTTCTCTTTCCTCTTATTTTAATACCTTTATACCTCTTTTTAATTCTTGTATACCCTCTGAAACGGCCGTTGTGCGTGATATCTAGCGGGTTTGAAGGCGAATTCGGAATACTGGGCTTTTTACTTGTTGGATCTTGTCATCTTCATGATATCCACATCCGCAACTTCAGACTTGTTTCTCCTAGAGATTGAAATCTGTTGCAGAGGACATGCCGATCTGTTCATATGCATGTCCGGCGTTGTGTCCAGGCTATCTGCTGTTAAATTATGCAGCAACCGTCAACGGAGCCTCACACTTCATGTAAATACTTGCTAATAACATTGTGAGACTTGGCAGTAATTTGATGAATGATCGACTTTATTGATGGTATTCGCTTGGTAGAAATGTTCTGGACTAAACTGACCGACTTCCCCACCTTCGGCCCCAATTTATCCTGAGAGCTTCTCCGGCAAGATCCCCAATTTAATCCCTCCCTTCTGCCAGGGCACCCATTCCGACGCCCTCCTTTCCCCCTTCCAGTGACCCCATATTCAAAATGCTCTCCGGCATTCTCGTCTTCAACCAAAAAGGCGAGAACCTCATCTTCCGCGCCTTTCGCAATGACTGCCGTCCGCGCCTGGCCGACATCTTCCGCATCCAAGTCATTTCCAACCCCCAGGTGCGCTCGCCCATTCTGACGCTGGGATCGACGACATTCAGCCATGTCAAGCACGAGAATATCTACCTGGTGGCGGTGACCAAGAGCAATGCCAACGCGGCATTGGTGTTTGAGTTTCTGTACCGGTTGGTGTTGCTGGGGAAGAGTTACTTTGGGAAATTTGACGAGGAGGCCGTCAAGAATAACTTTGTTTTGATTTATGAGTTGTTGGATGGTGAGTAGTACTCATTCAACTGGAGAGGCCCGAGTGGAGGATAACCTTTTTTTTTTTTTTCCCAGAAATCCTCGACTTTGGCTATCCCCAAAACACCGACCCGGACACACTCAAGATGTACATCACAACGGAGGGCGTCAAGTCCGCCATCGTCAACAATCCGACCGACTCGAGCCGGATCACAATGCAAGCTACCGGCGCGCTCTCCTGGCGCCGCGCAGACGTCAAATACCGCAAGAACGAAGCCTTTGTGGACGTAATCGAGGACGTGAACCTACTCATGTCCGCAACGGGCACCGTGCTCCGCGCCGACGTCACCGGCCAGATCGTCATGCGCGCCTACCTCTCCGGCACCCCGGAGTGCAAGTTCGGGCTGAACGACCGCCTCCTCCTCGACGGCGACAGCGGCGGCGGCGGCGGCGGCGCAGGCTCGTCCTCGTCCTCGCACGCCCCCTCCGGCGGCAAAGCGACCCGCGCGGCCGCCGGCTCCGTCACGCTGGAAGACTGCCAGTTCCATCAGTGCGTCAAACTGGGCCGCTTCGACGCGGACCGGATCATCTCGTTTGTGCCGCCGGACGGCGAGTTCGAGCTGATGCGGTACCGCGCCACGGAGAACGTCAATCTCCCCTTCAAGGTGCACCCGATCGTGCGCGAGGTCGGCACCACCAAGGTCGAGTACAGCGTCGCCATCAAGGCGAACTACAGCTCGAAGCTGTTCGCGACGAACGTCGTCGTGCGCATCCCGACGCCGCTGAACACGGCCAAGACCACCGAGCGGACGAGCCAGGGCCGCGCCAAGTACGAGCCCGAGCATAACAATATCGTCTGGAAGATTGCGCGGTTCTCGGGCGGCAGCGAGTACGTGCTTACGGCGGAGGCGACGCTGACCAGCATGACGAACCAGAAGGCGTGGAGCCGGCCGCCGCTGAGTCTGTCGTTTAGCCTGTTGATGTTTACCAGTAGTGGGTTGCTGGTGCGGTATCTCAAGGTGTTTGAGAAGAGCAACTACAGTAGTGTCAAGTGGGTGCGGTATATGACTCGTGCGGGCAGTTATGAAATCAGGTACCTTTCCTTCCCCTACTACGCGAAGAGCGTGACTAACGAACTTGCAGATTCTAGTGCTTCATCTGCATTCCCGTCATCTTCGCTACGATCATTGAGCTGGGTGTTTGGCGTTCGGATCATTTCATCACTACCATCAGCATGTCCGGTCTTATTTAGTTCAAGTCCTACAAATATGATAATAGACTTTCTGTATAAACCCGAGTCATTTACGAGAACAATTACATTATGCCATGAGGTTGGACAAAGAACGCACCGCATAATGAACAAAGAAAGATCACAAGTTCTGGTTGCACACGGAATGACATCAGATAATGAGATAGAATGTTCAATAGTATTATACATCGGCACAATATACAGAGAGGATAGATCGCAGTCAAAAGCCGGGTAGACAATTCACGACGCGATTGCAGATAACCAAACACCGAAGAACCGGAAGATAATAAATAATACAAACCACTGTCGTAAACATAGGTATGGTCGAAAGTAGAGTCGAACGGACGTCGTAAAAATACATAGCACATGGGATAGAAGACAGGTATATCCATGAATCAGGTATCAAGTTCAGTCGTGGCAAAAGTCGAAGGCGATGGAAGCAGAAGAGAGAGTTGCTATAGCCAACTCTCGTCGATTCGACCGCGAACCATCCGCCGTCCGCGTCGCAATCCCACATTCCCCTCGCCAATGAGTGCCTCCCACCTACGCCCAATGCTATCCTGATCCTTGCCGAGTTGGCGCGCGCACTCGTCCCAGTCGCGCTTGGAAAGCTGAAATTTTTCCAGGACAACCTCCACAAGTTGCCGGTCATCTTCGGAGGTCCATGAATCCGGCCCCATTTCTTCAATTGACGGTAGCGCTGCGTCGGGATCAAACTGCGACTGCGAGGAGGGAGACGGCGAGGGCGGCAGCGGTGCGCGCACCTCGTCGCAAAGCTCTTGCGGCCGTCGCTGCACAGAGGGCGGCGATTGTGTGGTTGGTGGTGAATTGAGAGAATAAAAGTCTGATCGCGATAAACCCAGGGGCAGATCGTAGGGGACGTAGCGTCGACGCTTTGGGGTGGAAAATCGAGCGCGCGGTGTCTGAACTTCTGAGTCTGCGTCGCTGTCGGCTTCGTAGCTGGCGCGCGTGCGCTTGTTTGCGCCACGAGAGGGTTTTGGTGATGGTTTAGGAGAGGATGGTCGGGAGCGTGTTTGTGTTTTTGGCTTTCGCGGCCGTGTGGAGGACGTGGAGGTTGTGGAAGATGCGAGTGCGAACGGACTCTGGAGACGTTCTGGTTTGGGTCGTCGCGAAGACGGTGCGGGAGAGCCACTAAGAAGAGATTGAAGGGCGCGACAGGTTCCTAGTAGCCCGTTGCTTGATGGAAAGAAGTCGTTGTCGGACGGAGGAGGCGTCGAGAAAAGGCGATTGGGTGTGAAGCGCGACCGGGTTGAGGAGCGTCGCATGTCGCAGGGAAGCGCAGAAGGGAGCAACATGGTTGCGAGGTTGGATATCAAGTGTATCAAGCGACACGGAATGAAGGATTGTATAGATAGATCTGATAGTGGTGGTGTTGAATGAAGGGAATGGCTCTGTGGGTGCGCGCCAGAGGAATGCGCCAGCGCGCGAAGTGTTTTGCGCCGGGGGAGGTCCAGTCGGCAGTAAAACGCGATAGGAAAATCAAAATGAGTGGACGATAGTTTTCGAAATGAGCGCTGTCGAATGGAATAGTTTCCGAGATATGCGATTGATTTGGTGGATGAAATAATGATGGAGGATGAAGAGAGTTGTGGGAGTTGAGGTGGAAACAATAATAATGTAGCGATAATTAAATTTTGGGGGGGGAAAGAAGGGAACCTGGTGGATAGTGGGAGGGACACTGACACAGTTCACTGTCACACAGTGGAGTTCCGCAAGCGGCGATAGGCTAAATAACAATCAAATATGGAGGGAAATTAGATATCAGATACGCTGTGGATACCCAAAGAACATTTTTAGAATCATGAATAAAGAAGTGTCTGCAGAATCCTCAAGCGCTTTCTTTGCAGTTGTTGAAAGCTGGGGCACTCTCTGAAAGGACAAAGACTCCAAGTCCCTTTTCTCTTGGTTCGCTTTCTGCTCCTTGATGTCTGTCTCCTGACAGGATGAAGGCCCCGTCTTATTTCCCTCGTTCCGCTCGAATTGATGCTGCCTTCACCAGATTCATGAACTACTTATCCCCCTCTGTCTGATCTACAGTCCCTGTCTACATACACTATGATATTCATTGACTCCAACTGAGACACGAGGGGGAGAGGGATGAAAGTTCGACCTTGCATCATAGTCCCCAGCAACAAGCCACATTTTCGATTGACAACGGTCATCCGGTGACACGCCATGAAGTCATTGCTTCCTGGACTGAGCCGCTCGGAAGGATCGGGTGAGCATTGCATGTGCAGCTGCATGTGCATGTTCGTTGACATTCTATTAGCGTGTCATAAGATGAGGTTACAGGCCAAGACAGTTATGAAAACACCTTCCAGAGAATTCTCGAAATCAATGAAATCACCTTGAATAGAAGTTACCAGGGAGAAGAACTGTATCTCTGAATGCCCTGGTTCGAGGTCTCAGGGAACATTGTCCCTCCATTCTTTCCCTCTAGGATAGCATCCTGCGGTTCAACCCAATCCTCTCCAGCAGCAGTAATAAAGACCATCCTAAGCCCTGTAGACTTGCTCATTTCTCTCAACTCATCCACCATCCACATCGGTCCTCTTTCTTCTCCCAATTCTGGTGCACATATACGGGATTCATCCGAACCGCGCGGTTTCCTAATCAGGTAATATTACAAACACGACACGAGGCGCGTCGACTCGCGTTCAGTTCGCGTTTTCGCGTTGACCAATCAGAACAGCACTGACACGCACACTCTTGGGGCTCGATGCCTGGAGATCACGGCCACGATTTCCACTTAGTTAATATGAAGACAACTGAGCTAGTAACGGTGGAGAGCCTAAAACTTCGCTACTTGCCGTACGGAGTAGTACTGGAATATGTCTTCAGTCCC